GTAAGTTCCTACAGATGCTCTAGCATGGATCAGGATACTTGGGTCGAATAATTTCTCGTGAGATTTCTTGGGAAGTCTGAGTACAGGCTGGCCTCCCACAGTCGCTCAGATTGTTTTTTTTCCGGATCGTCTCCTCCAGGGTTTAGGTAAAAGAGCCTACCCACAAGGCTGTGATGACAAGCAGACTTATTCAGTGGCGGTTTACGGTCGCTGTGCCACCGTGTTTTTACCAGGCCTTGCGATACTGGAGTGAGCGTGCCGGTCCTAGGTTTCATGATGACAATATCACTGCTGCTACGTGACTGATTAATCGGCTGAATGGAAAGCCTGTTTATTTCACAGCTAGCCTTCATTGAAATCTGCCCTATCATCCACCGCTATTGGGCATGTCAAGTGACTGGCAGCTAGGCCGACATACAGAGACGTCTTCGTGGATATTCATCTCTGTATCTGTCAGCAGCAGGAGAAAGCAGTCAGATTTTTACAACCGTCCTACAGTCTAGTGCCTCGAGAACAAAGTGTGCTAAATTCCTGAACACCAGGAATGACTAATACACGGCATTCGAAACGCATTCACGTAACATGCCTAAACTGACCGATTGCTACACCATCAGATGGAAGTTTACATGCGTACAAAGCCGCGAACACCGGAGAGGTTGGTGGGAAAGCTGTTCCACATAGAAGTAGGCCGATAATTACTGCCCAAAAAAACAATGCAACTAGTAAGAGTGCGAGAGGGGCCAATAATGACTCAAGCTGTTGGTCAAGGAACGTCATATATGCTCATGACTACGACATATGGGCTCGAAACGATGAGAATAACCGGGTGGATATAGAACTTGACCGAAGTTGGGCCGAATTAGACGAAAATACTTTGGATCAATGTCCGGTTGATGTGACTAAGACAAAAGCAGTTGAAGAGCTAAGGATAAAGGCCAGAAAATAACGGGCTACGCCCGTGAAGACGATGTGAATGGACCCCAGTGATTTTGGGAGCGTCTTCTTTCATTATCCAAACAGGAAGAATTTAATTAGTCTAACTTACCGGTATTTCACGACTCAATCTAAATTGCTTATAGGCGGGTTGGATTGGTGGCTAACCTTTAGAGCTGAATCGTACACTTTCGAAACGTCGTAGGACGTAAAGCTGTACATCGGATTCCGGGATAGGTGTCGGTAAACAGAACTAATACGCTTACGAAAATAAACGAATAATGTAATGGGTGTGGTGACAGGCTCACGACCCCATTGGCGCGCCAATAGCAGTGAAACATAGGTCAGAACCGAAAGAAAAAGAAACACTGTTGTAAAAAGTGGATTTACAAGAATAATTTGCGTAATCTTCAAAACAAGACGCGAAAAGAGATAAAAATGAAGGCATGCTACAGGGACGGCTTTAGGCACGGGCTATGGCGTAAGTACGAGTAACCCGAGGCGGGAAGGGGAAGAGTCGTGAGATGCAAATGGAACCTGAGTTCTGAGAGTCACAGGGGAACTGGCGCTGGTGATGGAGCAAAGCTCTCTGACAGGTACGGTCAGCCCGCCGGACTGGAACACTGGGTACCTGCAACCAAATTTCTGGTTTGCACGGTGAGCCTATGCTTGAAAAACGTTATTAGTTATGGTGGGAAAATTTGATACAATAAGGGCCTGTCATTATGCGACTAGAAAGCACTCAGGTGTGGATCCGATGATTTTGCCGCTTTGGCAGATCCCTCAGCACGGGGTGACGATGGCTCCCTGGGGACGCGAAACTTATTAAAGCGGATAAGTAGCATGAAGAAGGGCAGGGCGACCAGGGCCAACATTGAACAGAAGACAATCGTGGGTTTACCTTCCAGACTTCCGCCAACATAGGGGCCGAGGAGAAAAGCCACATTGATGATTGTGCGCAGGATTGTCTGCGCCTTGTCCAACTGCTGGGAGGGAATGAACTTTGTGTATAGTGATTCCGTTATCGCCAATGGGAAAGGCATTCCAATCACATGAATACCGACGCCAACCACGACAAGAGTTGCCCCCAAAGCTTTGGTCATAGTTAGAACACTATGCATAACAAAGGACAAGAAGGCATAGGAAACCGTCAAAAAGAAGAGTCCTAAAAGAACAAGAGTTCGATCTTCCATGCATCTGGACATCAGGTGCATCAAACCAGAGACGATGATTACAAGCACACTGGAGCCAATGTACACGTAGCTCACTTCAACTTCACCCCATTTGAAAAACCGGTTGGCAACAGGAGAAAGAACAGACTCCAGCGACATCACACAAAAGTAGGCACTAAAAATTATCAGATACAAGGTGAGGATATGGTATTGTCCGTATCCTGCGAACGAAATCTGGATTCGGCTATCCGAAGGCTGACGAGAATGCTTCGAAGTAGCTTCCGTTGGAGAGGATGCAGCCTCATTCGGCTGGAGATCGTCAACTAGTTCGCCAGACTTGTCCAGATGCGGATAAGTGAAGAAAATAAACATTGTATGCACAACCCACAACACGGCCATGACTAAACCCGGACCATTGTAAACACCGATTTGGACGGGACCGATCGCGATTGTCATTTGATGTAGAATAAGAGTGAACGCAGGACCGATTATAAGGCCAACTTGACGAGATAATAGCAGAACGATGATGAACGGTGTTCTTTCACTTTCTTCTGTTGACCGGGTCAAGTCAGCGTACATCGGAGACTCGCAGCTCGCTCCAACACCAGCTATTAATCGTCCAAAGAAAACGAACCAAGGGCTGTAAGGCAGAAGGTAGGCCAAATTTCCAATCACCTCCATGAAGTTCGCGAACATAAGCAAATGCCGCACGTTCACATTGGCATGGCCGGCGTATCCAAACAGAGGAGTAGCAATTAAAATGGACAGGCTGAACGCAGCAAGCGTTGAACCGTAAAAATTTTTTGCCACTTCGTTGCCCCAGTAGGTTTGGAAATAAAGCCACATTGTGGGCAAAATTATCGCTCTTTCAACATTCGTCAGGAAACCCCACGTTGATGCAATGAAGGCGATTGAGTATTTGGGAGGTCTTTTCTGTCGAACTACATTCCGTTTGCAGCAACGGTTTAAGTTCTGGGTGGACGCATCTCTCTGAACGCGGTGTAAGTCAGTGCTCTCGTTATGTGGGAAGGAATTATTGTTGCCAGTTATTCGAGCCCGGATCTTGCTTGGCGACTGGATGGAGGAAAACGTAGGGTCTAAATCATCCGGTAGTAACGGTACAGCCTCCGACATCACGCCTGCTGACTACGAGTATGAAGCTGTTATACTGACGACTGGTCGATAGCCTTGAAAGTAGGGCATTTCTACTGGTCAGGCTGTAGCCAATAGCAGGGAACGTAAAGAAGGCACGGATGCACGCAGCATCCGGCGCCAATCACCGCTGCCTCGGTTCTGCCAATAACTATGCAACGGCCGCATCTCACCGGTTGTCGGAGCTGGGTTAATTCTCTCACTGCGCGGCTGTCACCGGTTTTCGGGAGATTTGTGTTATGCAGCTCTCGGGATCTTGCTGACGGTCGAATCCCGGTAATTGCTGTAATTTTGTCACAAATGCGCCTTTATTTAAGCTGTCCCTTGCACTCACCCTGCGTCAGCTACACTCGAAATCTGTCCCAGGCCGGAGTGAGAGAAACTACTCTCTGTCGAAGGGCTGTTTGTGTCTTGTTGCTAATAGCTTTGATGTCGGAAGTCAAAAAATGAATAGCTTGTCTTTTGCAGATTAATATTTTCGTCGTCGTATTATCCGTTCACTTGTACCCATTTCCAAATGTCTTTGGCAGATTTACTGTATCTGTATTGTCGCGAAGCATGGATAGAAAATCCAGTTCTACTTTGCCTTTAGGGATCAGTTGGGCATTCCTAACCTAGCTTTTGAAAAGTTAAGACGTGCATATCAACATGTTCTACAACGATAAAGGATTTTGGGAGTTCATTCGATGCCATTCTTCCCGGGATAGTGGAGTGGGGATTGAGTTAGGTGTACTTCCCTAGGCGTAATGAATAGATAATAACGGAAAATAAAACTGTCATTAGTTTCCACCGGCTCTATTGTAAAGTACTGAACCATGTTATTAGTACAAAACTAGGTGAAATGTGCCTAAATAAGAATACACAGGGCCCGAGATGACACTAGATCGCTAGGCCTCCGAGAAAAAAACCCTGGGATTGATTGCCATCGTGATTTAAGTTAGGAATCAGGGAAAGTTAACACGGACAATGGTCCTGTTGGTTCTCGTAAACAACAACAAGTAATCGTTGTTTAGCGTGAAGTTGGTGGTCATTCAGTTGAGTTCCCAAACTTTTTTATCTGTTGCCGTGGTCATTACGGAAATTTGGACGGTAAGCCTCTCCCTTTCTGTAAATGTCAGTACTGTTGACGGCCACCACACTAGACTTGAACACAAAAATATTTTCGCACTAGTTATTTGCAACTGAGCTTCTGTAAGTATATAAAGCACATACTGGGCATATAGTTCGGAGAATCCTGTTGAAGTAAATCTTACCTCAGTTTTGTGGCAAGAACATCAATAGCTTGCTACGACTGAGTAATACTAATAACGATTAAGGATAACTGTAGGTTACAGACCACGTATGAAAACTGGTGCTGAATTCGCAGGGCATGCACGATCAGGCTGAATCGCCGGAACTGAAAGACTCGTCGGCCTAACTGAGCTGGTGGTTGCTGAATTTCCCTCATCCATAAGCCGAAAATTCAGTCGTCGCGGACGGCGGTGTCCCCCTCCGCCCCACAAAGTGGCCTCAAGAGTGGCATGCGCCTGAAATTGTTTTTTAGCGAGCCAGAATTTTGCGAAGTCTACCTCACGACATCTTCCGCAACCACAGTGTTCAGATGTCAAGACGGCCAGAGGCTGGTATGGGCGCAGTGGCCGACAAAATCAAGCTGCTAATCGACGCGTGTCGCACACGACCTGATCCCCGCTACAGATGCACTAAGGTACATTTCGAGGGTTCCGGTCGCTCTGAGATAAGGGATGCCACAAGCCATATTGAGAGGGGACCACTGCGGCCTAACACACAGTCCTGAGAAGGATCTATTTAATGGTAGGGGACGCTCACCGATCGTTCTTACGGAACTCACTCGCTCCGTTG